CCCTGGGGCTGGTGACAAGGCCCAGCCAGGACCTGGGTGTCCCAAGGGGACGTGGAGCTGTTGCAGGTGGCAGAGACCCGACATAACTCGTCACACCAGCCCCCTCGGCAGCGCCGGATGCAGTCCCCGCCGGGCTGGGGGTCCCCAGATTTTGAGGGGAGCTCAGGCCTCCTGCTCTTGCAACCTCCTGTGACACACTCTGGTGTGTCAGCGTGTCCCTGCGTGCGTGTTGCACATGTGTGTGTGCGTGTTCCTGCTCACACGTGTGTGTTCCTGCTCACACGTGTGTGTGTGTGTTCCTGCTCACACGTGTGTGTGTTCCTGCTCACACGTGTGTGTGTTCCTGCTCACATGTGTGCGTGTTCCTGCTCACCCGCGTGTGTGTGTGTTCCTGCTCACATGTGTGCGTGTTCCTGCTCACCCGTGTGTGTGTGTGTGTTCCTACTCACACGTGTGTGTGTGTTCCTGCTCACCCGTGTGTGTGTACACGCCCTGGCACACCTGCACATGGCCTGGCTCACACATGCATGCTCTGGCACTCTCCTGTGTGTCCTTGCTCTCACACACACGCTCTGTCACACTCACCAACTCCCCAGCCAAGGCCCTGCCTGCTTGGGTGCGATTAGGGTGCTGGGGGGGCCCTGCCCAGCCCTGCCAGCCCCGATAAAGCTCCTGCCTTCCACTGCCGGAGGGTCCCAGGGGGTCCCGGTCCCCTGCTGACAGGGGCACGAGGAGACTGGGGACACCCAGGGGTTCCCCCAGCAGTTCTGTGCCACCAGCAGTGCTGGGGGGGCCATGGTTGTGTGCTGGCCACGGGGACCCCCAGCCTGGCTCCTCGCACCCCTCAGGGGCCCCCGGGGCCTCCGGCTGCCACCAGCTGCTGGTGGCATTTTTAGATACCGGCCGTGTCCTATCTGTGTCTCAAATGTCCCCGTGGGCGGGTGGCCCCCCCCCCGCAGTGGCAGCTGTCACCCGGTGCCATCAAAGCCCCTCCGCAGCGCAGGCGTCAGGGTGGGTGCTGGGGGCACCCAAGGGTGGGAGGACACCCCTGGGACCCAACTCGGGCACAGCCCCTAAGGACCCGACCTGGGGGCACCCAAGGGTGTGAGGACACCCTCGAGGACCTAAGCTGGGGACCTGGGTGACCTAACTCAAGGACATGCATGAGGACCCAACCCGGGGACATTTAGGGGTGTGGGAACTCCCCTGAGAGCCCAAACCAGGAACACTCCTGGAGACCCAACCTGGGGACATGCCAGAGTGCAGGGACACCCCAGAGGACCCGACACAAAGCGCTGGGTGGGCAGCCAGGACCTTGGCAAGGAAACCTCACCATGGGGAGCTGCAGGCAGGGCTGGGTGCCGGTGTCACCACCCCGTGCCCCCAACACCTGGGTGCAGACGAGGTTAAACCCCTCTGAGCAGCTTACGGGCAGCTCTGAGCCTCAAATCCCCGCGCGCGGCCACGCCCGGTGCCCACGGCTCCCCGTTTCCTCTCCCTCCCCAGGGGCCTGTCACCGGGAGCCCACGGGCCACCGGGCCGGGGGACGTCGGGGCCATGACCTCGGCCAACGACTACGAGCAGCTGGAGCTGCAGCAGCAGTTCGGCCGCATCAACGTGCGCTGGGACGCGTCCGATGATGAGCTGGACAACGACAACAGCTCAGCCCGGCTCTTCGAGCGTTCCCGAATCAAAGCTCTGGCAGGTCGGGGACCGGGGGGTGGGTCCTCCCGGGTCCTCCCGGGTTGTCCTCGGCCCCTCTCCCGGTGGCACCGTGCCCACTCTCGTTGCAGACGAGCGGGAGGCGGTGCAGAAGAAAACCTTCACCAAGTGGGTGAACTCGCACTTGGCTCGTGTCACCTGCCGCATCTCCGACCTCTACATGGACCTCCGGGACGGGCGGGTGCTCATCAAGCTCCTGGAGGTGCTCTCAGGAGAGCTTCTGGTAGGACTTCCATGCACTTGGAGACCCTGGGACACATGCAATCCTGTGCCACTCCACCCCACACCATCCCATCCCATCTCCCAAGACCTCAGGGGGTTCTCCACCAAGGCTGTTGACCTTGACCAAGGCTCCAGCAGGGTTGGGGGTAGCAGTGGGGGTCTTTGTGTGCAGGGGTGTGGGTGCTGGAACATGGAGGGGCGGGTGCTGAGTGCTCTTGTGCCCCAGCCCAAGCCCACCAAGGGCCGGATGCGGATCCACTGCCTGGAGAACGTGGACAAGGCGCTGCAGTTCCTGAAGGAGCAGCGGGTCCACCTGGAGAACATGGGCTCCCATGACATCGTGGATGGGAACCACCGCCTTCTCGTCGGCCTCATCTGGACCATCATCCTCCGCTTCCAGGTGGGGCTTGGTGGGTGGGGGTCACCCCGTGGCTCGTTCCCGATTGGGAGACCTCCTCCATGGATGTCCTTTTCCAACCCTGGGATGTTCTTCTGTCATCTCAGATCCAGGACATCATCGTGCAGACACAGGAGGGCCGGGAGACGCGCTCTGCCAGGGATGCGCTGCTGCTCTGGTGCCAGATGAAGACAGCAGGGTAGGTGGTGAGACCCGCATCTCACCCCACTGGGGTCCAGGGGTGCTGTGAGGGTGACAGTAACGGTGACACCCTGTCCCTGTCGCAGGTATCCCCACGTGAACGTCACCAACTTCACCTCCAGCTGGAAGGATGGGTTAGCCTTCAACGCCCTCATCCACAGGCACAGGTAGATGTCAGGGGGTGGGCACCAGGGTGGTGGTGGCACGGGGGGATGTCCCACGGCTGTGCCACCATCATCCCGTCACCTTCTGTCCCCAGGCCTGAGCTGGTTGACTTCCAAAACCTGACCAAATCCAACGCCCGGCACAACCTGGAGCACGCGTTCAGCGTGGCGGAGCGGCACCTGGGCATCACCCCGCTCCTCGACCCCGAAGGTGAGGATCCACTGCCTACCTTCCTGCCTCAGTTTCCCCCATCACACCCTGGGGACGTGTCCAGGTCCCATGGAAGGACTGTTTCCACCTCGTGGACTTGGGGTCTTGTTGGGAGCAAGGGGGAGGAACCTGGTGTGGCTGTGGGGGCTGGGGTGATGGTGGGGTGACAGAGGCCGGGTCAGAACCAGTGCCTGTCGCTCACACCACGCAGATGTGTTCACGGAGAACCCCGATGAGAAGTCCATCATCACCTACGTGGTGGCCTTCTACCACTACTTCTCCAAGATGAAGGTGCTGGAGGTGGAGGGCAGGCGCCTGGGCAAGGTAGGGGATGGCATTGAGGTTGTTGAGGGGGTCCTGCCGGGCTTTCAGCACCCAGTGCTCACCGTGGACCCACCACAGGTCATCGAGCACGCCAAGGAGACCGAGCGGATGATCGAGGGTTATGGTGGGTTGGCCTCTGACCTGCTGACCTGGATCGAGCAGACCATCGCCTCCCTCAACAGCCGCAGCTTCGCCAACTCGCTGGCCGGGGTCCAGCACCAGCTCCAAGCCTTCAGCACCTACCGCACGGTGGAGAAACCCCCCAAGTAAGCGTCCCCCCCAGCCCCACCGTGCGCTGGTGAGCACCCACGGGTGGCCCCAGGCTGAGGTCTCTCTCTGGGGGCAGGTTTCAGGAGAAGGGCAACCTGGAGGTGCTGCTCTTCACCATCCAGTCGCGGATGAGAGCGAACAACCAGCGCGTCTACACCCCGCACGAGGGGCGCCTGGTCTCTGACATCAACCGGGTATGAGGCCCTGCATGGCTGGGGCCATCATCTGCTGGGGGCAGGTTGGGTCCACCTCTTGGGGGCGGGTTTGGTCGATGTCTGGGAGACAGGATTGGCCCATCTCCCAGAGGCAGGCTGGGTCCATCTTCTGGGGCACGTTGGATTCATCCCAGAGCATTTAATGCCCTGGGGTAGGTTGGGTCCATCTCCTGAGGCAGTCAACCTCCCTCCTCGGTCACATCAAGTCCATCCTAGGGCGAGTGAGGTCCATCCCACGGCGGGTTGGGTTCCTCCGACCACACTTGCATGGGTCACGTTGAGATTCACCAGCAGAAGAAAATGTGGGGAGGGGGTTGGAGGAATATGGGACGTGGATGCCACCCCTGGTCTGGTGCCACCTTCCCCCAGGCCTGGGAGCAGCTGGAGAAGGCGGAGCACGAGCGGGAGCTGGCGCTGCGCAACGAGCTCATCCGGCAGGAGAAGCTGGAGCAGCTGGCGCGGCGCTTCGACCGCAAAGCAGCCATGAGGGAGGCCTGGCTGAGCGAGAACCAGCGCCTGGTGGCTCAGGTGAGACCAGGGACACTCACCCTGGGCACCTAGACATCCCCACCAGAGCCTCACCGTGAGCTTTGTGCCTGGGCAGGACAACTTTGGCCAGGACTTGCCAGCGGTGGAGGCAGCCAAGAAGAAGCACGAGGCCATCGAGACGGACACAGCTGCCTACAAGGAGCGGGTGCAGGCCATCGTGGCGGTGGCCAGGGAGCTGGAGCTGGAGGGCTACCACGACATCCAGCGCATCAACAAGCGCAAGGACAACATCCTGCGGCTCTGGGAGCAGCTCCTGGAGCTGCTGGCCGCTCGGCGCCAGCGCCTGGAGATGAACCTCACCCTCCAGCACCTCTTCCAAGAGATGCTCCACAGCATTGACTGGATGGATGAGGTCAAGGTGAGCCATGGGTGTTAGGTACCACCACGGGTGGGATGTATTTGGCCCACCGAGCACCTCCCTGGAGAGGTGGGATGGGATGCTGGGGGTGGCTTTTGGGTGCTGGGGGTGGGTGACAGCCAGGGCTCTCCCATAGGTGCAACTGGCATCTCCCGAAGCTGGGAAGCACCTTCTGGAGGTGGAGGAGCTGCTGCAGACCCACCGGCTGCTGGAGCGCGACATGGCCCTGCAGGCTGAGAAGACACGGGCCATCAGCGCCGCCGCCCTGCGCTTTGCTGACGCTGAGGGTAGGTGTGGTGAGACGCCCACGGCACAGCCAGGGGAACCAGGGCACCTGCTGATGGGTGCTCACCTTGCTCCTTGGCCAGGCTACCGTCCCTGCGACCCCAAAATCATCCGGGACCGCGTGAGCCACTTGGAGATGTGTCGACGGGAGCTGCAGGCGCTGGCATCCCGGAGGAGATCCCTGCTGGAGCAATCCCGTTCCCTCTGGACCTGCCGGTGGGAGCTGGATGAGGCGGAAAGCTGGATCAAGGAGCAGGAGCAGCTCTACTCCTCCCTGGATTTTGGGAAGGACCTCCCGGGCGTGTTACTGCTCCAACGCCGTCACGCCGCCTTCGAGGCCGAGCTCCGCAG